ATGATATATTGTTAAAATGACTCAAACTGGGGCCTTTTCATGTTATTAAGAACTATATGAAGGCAAATGCTAGCTTATCATCAACATTTCCTAACTACATATTGTTCAATACACCTCTAGCATAAAAAAACAGTAGCACAAAGAGCCAATGGTAATACCTGTTCAATACACCTCAAATACCAATTAACATTGTACATTTCCTAACTATATAATGTTCAATATATCAAGGCAAATGCTAGCTCTATCATCAACATTTCCTAATCTGTTATTATGTCTGCTTATGGCCATCAAATGTAACATGCTTATTCTACAAGGAGTCTCTCTACTGCTTCTGGTATGACCAAGAATTATTATCACTTATATGGTAGATTCCGCTCATGAATGAAATTGAAAATTCTTGATCATGTTAATCAAGCCTGCGACCTGATCTCGAAATGAATAATATGATGGAGAATTTTCATATTCAACTAATTGACCTTGAATCATTAGCTATTATATCTTTTGTTAACTTCAAGTTATTATTTTTGTATAATTTTGATGATAAGTTTGTTGTATTTTTCTTCCTTTTTTTTGGTCACAGAGATGGGGAGCAGTTTTATGTTAGAATCGGGATTCTATATCACATCATTTTCTGCAACAATCTTCATTGCTGGACTTGCAGCTCTTGGACTTTTATTAATCATTCTGTTGGTTTCAATGGCAATGATGCTAAAATCTTGTCAAAATAATAGTGTTGGAATTCTAGAGCTTAGGAATGTAAACGATGACTATAGTTATTGCAAAGTTCATTCTCTGCATGCTAAGTTCAATCATTTGGAAGAATATAATGTTCCTAAAATTTGTAAGGACATGGCGGTACAGTATATCAAAGGTGGTCAATATGCTAGAGATTTGGATTTAACCAAATCTGTGGTTGAGGAATATTTCAATGGTGTTAAACCATCACAGGATGGTTTTGATGAGGTGTTGATTGACATAGATGGCATTTTTCCATTGAGTCCTCTTACAGATAATCTTGAGTCAAGATATCTAGGCCATTTCATGCTGTTAAGACTTATATCATAAAGAATATAATATATTGTTAAAATGACTCAAACTGGGGACTTTTCATGTTGTTAAGAACTATATGAAGGCAAATGCTAGCTTATCATCAACATTTCCTAACTATATACTGTTCAATACACCTCTAGCATAAAAAAAACAGTAGCACAAAGAGCCAATGGTAATATTTGTTCAATACACCTCAAATACCAATTAACATTGTACATTTCCTAACTATATAATGTTCAATATATCAAGGCAAATTCTAGCTCTATCATCAACATTTCCTAATCTGTTATTATGTCTGCTTATGGCCATCAAATGGAACATGCTTATTCTACAAGGAGTCTCTCTGCTGCTTCTGGTATGATCAAGAATTATTATCACTTATATGGTAGATTCCGCTCATGAATGAAATTGAAAATCCTTAATCATGTTAATCAAGCCTGCGACCTGATCTCGAAATGAATAATATAATGGAGAATTTTCATATTCAACTAATTGACCTTGAATCATTAGCTACTATATCTTTTGTTAACTTCAAGTTATTATTTTTGTATAATTTTGATGATAAGTTTGTTGGGTCTTTCTTCCTTTTTTTTGGTCACAGAGATGGGGAGCAGTTTTATGTTAGAATCGGGATTCTATATCACATCATTTTCCCCAACAATCTTCATTGCTGGATTTGCAACTCTTGTACTTTTATTAATCACTCTGTTGGTTTCAATGGCAATGATGCTACAATCTTGTCAAAATAATAGTGCTGGAATTCTAGAGCTTAGGAATGTAAACGATGACTATAGTTATTGCAAAGTTCATTCTCTGCATGCTAAGTTCAATCATTTGGAAGAACATAATGTTCCTGAAATTTGTAAGGACCTGACGGTACAGTATATCAAAGGTGGTCAATATGCTAGAGATTTGGATTTAACCAAATCTGTGATTGAGGAATATTTCAATGGTGTTAAACCATCACAAGATGGTTTTGATGTGGTGTTGATTGACATAGATGGCATTTTTCCATTGAGTCCTCCTACAGATAATCTTGAGTCAAGATATCTAGGCCATTTCATGCTGTTAAGACATATATCATCGAGAATATAATATATTGTTAAAATGACTCAAACTTGGGCCTTTTCATGTTGTTAAGAACTATATGAAGGCAAATGCTAGCTTATCATCAACATTTCCTAACTATATACTGTTCAATACACCTCTAGCATAAAAAAAACAGTAGCACAAAGAGCCAATGGTAATACATGTTCAATACACCTCAAATACCCCATGCTTGCGACTCAGGTACTGATATTATTGTGATCTACATGGAGCCAATGGTAACACCAAGGAAGAAAATCAGACGGTGAGTCGAAGCTGCAAAGCTAATGTGGATGAAACTAAACCAATGCCATTTAAGTGGTTATTCTATTTATCATAAATGAAGTGCTGAAACTTTCTATCAATACAGATGCTACTTATGAATGAAAGCTCTCACCCACATTTGAATTTCATTCATGTTAAAATGGTACTGCAGCAGATTAATCCCACATTTAATATAAGCTAAAACCAATAGTAGCTTAATCCCACCATTTTAAAATTGCAGCTTAATCATATATTTAATCAAATTAAATTGAAGTTTGCATACAACATATCAATATAAATTAGTAAGAGATTAAACATCATGAGGAAGAGATTGAACAATAAGAGTGCAGGTGATAACATGCTTCTTGGACAATTGTAAGGAAAAAATAATTTACCTCAAAGTGGAAATAGTTGCATTGAATCTATGCTATTTGGATGAAGCTTAACAATTTTGTGTTGATGTTTTAACAGTCAATCAAAGGGAGTAGTTGACTTTTTCTGGTGGCTTAAAAAAGTCAATATCAAATATGCTTCAATTTTGAATTGATTTTCCCCAAATGTTTTGAACTGCATACAAACCAAATTAGTTGTAACTGAATTGGTAGTCTGCAAGTAAATATTTTGACAGAACTGGCTGGTTTGCTTTTGTTGATTTTGCAGGGTCCCTAAACAGCCATGATTGAAACACGCAAAAGATGACTATGTATTATTGTCTTAAGCAGAAGTGTAGTAAAAATAAGTGCATTAAAACATGTGAGATTAAGGTTAACTTTTTCATGTAGCTTGAAAAGGCAATGTGTCAATGAAAAACAAACATGGCTTGTATAACTTATACTAATATGTTAAAAAGGCAATGAGTCAATGAGTGCAGTGTAAAGATGCTGGTGAAATTATACTATTATGTTAAACAGCTGTAATATAAAGTACTTAGCTATTATGACCTACACATTAAAACAGTAAGAGGAAGTACTGAGAAATGCACAACCCTCAAAGTATAGCTTACATAGGTAAACATAATACTTTAAATGTCAGAAAATACAGCTAAAGCAATTGTGCCAAGTAAATTAGTACAGGTTTTGCAGAATTGTGAAAAAGTAAGCAGACAACATTGGGATTCATAAAAGGCAAGAACATTTTAATATAACTAATGCCAATGGTTTGTATATCTTAACAAAATAATCTCTCCACAAGATAATGGCAAATAAGTATTTCTGTTGTTAATGCAATTGATTTATATAACTATAAGTTACATGAAGTAATTGTCCTTTCAAACATATCTCCTAGGATTTATTTATTATATGGTAAATAGGAAAGCAGTTATGCACTTGTGCTGCTTCTTCATCCCTGTGCATCCATGCCATATCCTTGTTAATTTTACAATTTCACAATATATCCTTTTGATTAACTAAGGTGATTTCTCAGCTAATGTGATTTGGAAAGAAAGCATTTAGGGTGGAGCAAAAATATTGTCTCAATATACCAGAATTTTAGATTCTTGGTTAACTAAGGTGCAATTAGAACCACCAATAATACTAATAAAACAGTTAAAATAGCAGTTGAGGTTTTGTTCTATATCAGTTTTAAGGTGATTTTCTGTTAAAGCACTTGTGCTTCTGTTCTATATCAATTTTAAGCTGATTTTGTGATTGTAGATAGTTGCATATGTTTATGTTGATGTTCTATATCAGTTTTGTGATTTTGTTCTATATTAGTAGTAAGGCCGCTATAAAATATGTTAACTGCTTGGAGACACATGACAAGTTTCATAATATAAGTTCATAACGGTTTTAGGAACAACATAAGTTACAAAAAAGTTAATCAACATAAGCTTAACATATTCAAAAGATCTCTAAGACATGTTGAGCACTATTTGTTGTCAACTACATTAGGTTACAAAAAACCATATTCAAATGAACAACAGTAGCAAGATAAGGAACTTGTAACAACATAGCAACACTTGGCTGTACCAAAATAACTTGATTTGAAGGTAAAGGCTCATTCCTTATTGGCATGCTTCACAGTCTTGGTTGCAGATTGTTTGGGTGACAAAATAGTTGAAGTTCCTAGCTCCTCAATAGAATATTCTTGGGACAACCTCTTGGAAGGGGTATTGCTTGAATAGGCTTCGTCGCTCCAATTTTGTGAAGCAGACATGGTTGGCTGGAAGTTGGAAATGGAAGCTATGAGTTCTTAGTGCAATAAAATTTTTCCAATAATAATAAATTAAGACAGATATAACTTGGAAACAAACTTACTATATAAAGGGAAGTAGGAGTCACCGCTTCATTGTCGAGTATATGATGGTTAAGAACAGTTTCTTTTCCTTTTGTAGTCGGGGCATTCATGGTGTTTTTAGAAGTCAACTACATGATAATATATTTTATGGTCAGTATGTTAATGTAAGACATGAAGAATGTAATTAAATTTTGATGACTTAATGCATCATAAACCTCATTTGGATAAATGGCATCTTTGAACATTTGGATTACTTCTTTGTCCTCAGTAAGCTTGATAACAGATGCCTGCTTAAAGTTCGGCTGAAACTTCATGCGAAAAGCAAATTCCTTTTCTAATAGTTTGTCCAAGTTTTCAGGATAGATTTATGGATGATCTTCATTGGACTAAGAATGTATAAAAGGTAAACATTACATAGTAACATTAATGATTTACATAACTGTTTTTCAAAAGAAATGAAATAGCAGCATGACATAATCTGTACTAAGTATAATCATGACAGAAAAGTAGAAGCTAACTAATAGCACAACTAAATTATGATAAATCATCGTTAAAACAATTATTTTGCCAATACTATTTGAAACAGATAGGATATAGCTAATAAATATGATGGACAGAGGCCATGTTCATTCACTCAAGAGTTATAATTTACTTTAAAATAAAACATTGTGTATGTGAGCTTTTGCATAGGCATGCTGAATCAAAACACAATTTATCTGTTCTTTCCCTGTTCAGGAGCTCATGTTTTGACCCAAGTTTCATTTGGCCCATTCATAGATACTTATTTGGAAATGGTGTTGACTATGCTATATAATTTAAGGGGCTAACATGTGTAATTGGACGATTATATGTTCAAAAAGACATCTGTCAATAATTTCTTGACCTATTTATGTTTAGATGGTTTTGTACTTAAATTTCTTTGGCGCAGAAAAGTAGGAAAAGATGGACCATGACCAGACTGGATGCGTAGCAGCCCCTAAAGGTTCTATGCTCTGCGTCAACAACTGTGGATTTTTTTGGAAGTGCAACTACCATGAACATGTGTTCTAAGTGCCACAAAGACATGATGCTGAAACAGGAGCAGGCCACACATATTTTATTGATGTTGTTATTATATTTTTATATGTGATGGGGGACTTGGAGTATTATCTCTGCAGTTAGAGAGACTGCATATTTCATGTGATTGGAGAAAATATATGCCCCAGTGTTTTTTAAATCTTTAAATTTCTGCTAGTTTGGTGGAAGTTGGTGGTGTAAGCATTATAAGGCTTTTATTTTGTTCCCTATCTATATGTCTATAATAGTACATGTCAAAATGGTATGTGCAATTGACAGTTGATTTATGAAGGATCCATAGACATGAGTATATTCTATATTATTATAGTTTTTATGTGCTTGTTCTGCTTGTATTATTATAGTACTTCTGATTGTATATTATGATTTCTTACACAAGTAGACATTTTACACCAGAGAGGTATCTTGTAAAACACTGAGTGTTTTCATCTTGTTTTTTCAGTAAGTGATTGATACATGTATGTATATTGTAGCAACTCTTTAAAGTCTAGACAGAGCTTTCACCGGTTTTATGTGAAATGAGTGTGAACTATTTATTATTGATATTATCCTACAGGTGTTTAATATCTCATAGTCAATCACATGATTTCATATATCAGAGCTTATATAAGAGCAAGATACAGTGGTTATGTGTATACGTTGAATGTATCAAGCATACATATAAGTACATAATATTTACGCACCTTTTTCATGATTTCTCTTAAAGCATGTGCTGCCATTCCAACATATTGGATACACTCCTTGTCCCAAAACACAAAACAATCAGTCGTGCAATCATTTTCGACCTCGATTTCGATTTTATACCTAAGGAAATGGTTGAAATATAATTAAATTAACCAACATGTTTAAATAAGGTTCTTAGATAATTTATATAGTAACTAAAAAAGATGTGTTTACTTGGTGAGTGGTGGAGGTGTATTTTCACAACATGTGCATATGAATGGCTGCCCAGGAAATTTATTAGTTCTGTTACATGCTGGACACTGCTCATAGTACCAACCGCACCTACTTGACTTGAACCTCTTTGTGGTTCCAAAAGTGTTACAAAAAGCTTGTTGTAAATAAACATGGCATGTTATATGATTGGAAACTTGCAATTGAGTAAAAATGAAGGAAACATCATAAAAAATGGTTACGTTGCGTCGTGATAAAAACTGGAGCATAGGAACTAATATGCTTACATCTTGAAGAATCATGATGTCAGCAATGGTTTTGATATCATTGGTGTAGGAGAAAGATCGGTCCACAAACGACCCTTGTGATGCAGAAGGTTGGAGAGTTTGTGAACTTGCCTTGTCTCCCAACATAAATAAAATTGAAACATTATACACAGTGGAGTACATATAAGGGATTTGACTATTTATCACATTGAATAATAGTTCCTTACTTGGATTTGAATGTTGTGACATGTGGATGAACAAAATCAAGAAGCAATTTGGATCCGTTCCAAGCATCTGAGATGTACCATTTTCCGATGGCTGCAAAACAACAACAGTGGCATAACAGTAAGAGTAGTATAAGAAGCCAATCACAAATGAAAGGAATAAGAGTGAAATAACAATTTGAAGCATTACTTGAACTTTTCTGGCACATAGCATGAGTGATTATTATTATAGTCTGGCCATGTGCGGTATGCTCAGTCGAGTATGCCATGAATTGGTTGGCATATGATTCCCAAAGTGTAATATCTATTTCAGAACCACTAATAATAAAGAGAGAAAAAGTTATAATGTGATATATATATATATATATATATATAAGTTATAATGAAGAACCACTAATAATAAAGAAGTTATAATGTGATATACATTTCATCAGATAAGGTAATGTTGACACAAGCCTTCTTTCCGCCCCCTGCAACTTGAGACCTGACTACTTGGTGAAGTACACCAATGACATCTGTTTGATAGTAAGGCCAAATGGTTAGTCTATTAGTTCACAAACATGTAATAATGCAAATGATGTTTAAGAAAATTTTAAATACCATATAAGCGGTTGACTTGGAAATCTCCGTGTAAAAAATTGACGATGGGTTTGAAATGAAATTGATGGGGTGGTATTTCTGGTAAATCTACCATGGTTATAGTGGTTCCACTATTGAAAAAAAGCTTCAACGGATTTTCACAGATTTTCAAAGGAATATCGTTGTTTAATGGATCACCATTATAAACCATATAAGTCATATGTTCTTGTAACTTCTGTTTCCACAAATTGAAATCTCTGTTGCGGGTAACGACGTGTATTTTGTCACCCTATGAATCAAACGAATAGTTAGTACATATTTTAGGTTATGTAAAAGTTAGATAACATATTTACAGCAATAATGCATACCTTGCTATCTTGGATAACACATTCAAAATGTTGTTGTCCATTACGCTTGGTTACAGTCCATAGATCAACAATACGAATGGCGAGCTTCCATACATTGTTTCCTAGCTTCAAATCAACAATCATAATAGGTGCTCTAGACATGGTGATCTGAAAAGTAACAACTACAATATAAGTTCATAACAGACATGGTTTTCAGATGTGTTTTCAGAGATGAATAACAATAACCAAATGTACAGAAATTGTTAGCAAAGCTTGTAGCTTTCTTATCGGGAAAAAAGATGAACAAAAAGCAACATTCATCTGAAAACCCAGAAAAATGGATTCAAAACGGATTCAAAACAACATCATGAAAATCAAACCCACAATCATTGTAAACCCAGAAAAACAATGGTTGAACTCTGGTTTGTGAAACAAAAAAACCAGACTCTTGGTTTATGAAACAGAAAACCAGAAAAACTAAAAATAAAATAATGCTTGAACTATGATGTGCAGGGAGAGGCGATGGAAGTAGGAGCACGTACCTTCTTATTTCTAGCTCGCAAGAAATACAGACGAGTGAGATGATGGTGTTCTGAAGTATGAAGTATGGAGAAAATGGAGAAAAGTGAAATATGATTTGTGGAGAAATGAGAGAAATATCAGAAGAAGGAAAGATATAGAGAAGCCTGAATAGTGTGAGAAGAGAGGGGAAAATGGAAAAAAGTTTGGGACCAATGGGTAACTGACACGTGGATGAGAAGGAAGCTCTTAGCAGCTCTCACAATATGAATATGTTGATTACTAAATTATCCTTTTTGAAAGCAAAATGAAATATTTGTTATTGGATAATTTTGTAATAATGGTGGTATATTTTTGCAATGGGTAGATAGTTGATACAAATACAATCTGGACATGGCTCCTGATTGCCATCAACTTCAGAATATGTCTCAGAATGTGAAAGAGTCTTTCAAGGAATATGCTCAGCGGTGGAGAGAGTTGGCTTCCCAAGTTGAACCCCCTCTAGTGGAGAAAGAGTTAATTGGAATGTTCATTGACGCGTTGTCCCCTTTCTATTGGGAGAAAATTATTGGGAGTGTCTCTTCAAGCTTTACAGATCTGGTGACTATTGTCCAGAGATTGGAAGAAGGTATGAGTAAAGTATCTAAGGTTGTTGAATCTTCCAATAGTGCGAAGAAATCCTTTGGAACCTTCCATAAGAAGAGAGAATATCAGACTAACATTGTCATGGCTGAAGTGAGGAGGCATCGTCCCCAACCTCGGTATAATCACCCTAATTTTGCTGCCATTACACCTGTTGTTGCCGCTCCACGACCAGCTCTGATTCCTCAACGTCCAGCTGATGGACAAAACCAGTATCAAAATATGAATCAATTTGATCCTATTCCTATGATATATATAGAACTTTATCCTGACTTGGTTCAACAAGGGTTGATCACTACAAGGAATCTGGAACCTCCTCTTAATCCTCTTCCAGCTGGATGTAGAGTTGATCTTCAGTGTGCATTTCATGAAGGCGCTCCAAGCCATGACTTGGAAAATTGTTATGCACTGAAAGCCAGGGTGTGTGAGTTGGTTAGAACTGGAATCCTTGATTATAAGGATAGTCATCCAAATGTCCAGAATAATCCCTTTCTAGTGCATCAAAAGTGAAGCTTCAGTCGACTTCAACAGATTGTCTTCCTAAAAGCCAAGGTTTCAGACAGAACAGCTCATATGTGTTACTGATTAGTCACTAGGCCTTTTGTTTCTCGTTGTTTGTACTTTCCTTAATTTTGTTATGTTGTTTGCTTTTAATTAGTGTTTGTACTTTCGTATTAATGAAATGAGCATTACAACTTTTGATTTTAATTCATTTTGTCTATTATTTGCACTTTTATGCTTTATATTTCAAATATTTACACCTTTTGTCCAAACTTTTGATTATGCAAATATTTGAGGGAGGCTGATGAAAACGTATTATCCATAATTGTTGTTGGTATGCTTTTAATTAAACTTTGCTGACGATGTAAGGCATTGTTTCAATCCCCCAAACACTGGAGAAATAAGGAAGTTATTCCCTTGTCAACCCCTTCGAGCCTAGAAGTTAGAGATTCTTTCTTTACAAAAAATACGCAATCTTAACCTTGGGATGGGTAACTCTCGGTTAACTTAGTTGTGCTTTTCTGCAATGCACCTTTCATATAAAGGTTGCATTCATAAGTTTTTCTTCGCACACAACAAGTAAGTGTCAAAGATGTTTTCCAAGTCAAAAGTCGATGATGGTTCACCGTAACCTTTAAAGCCAGGCAGTCACTCTCTAAAAAAATTAAAAGAAAGCCTGCTAAGTCAAAACCTGTGAAGGGGACTTAGGCAAAACTGTGGCATCCCGCTGACTGTAATCTTCACAAGAAACAGTTCAGACAAAAGTTAGGGATAATAGAAAGAGTAGCTCTCTAGACCCTTCACCCTAAAAATCCTCAATGTCAAAACAACCAAATGTTATAGGGAGGTAGTGACTGCCTTTTCAAAGATCCCTTGACTTCTGAACCATCATTACTATTATCAGTAAAATCCCTAACCGATGGGAACCTGAGCGTATAATATGAGTTAACTGAGCGCAGGACTGAAGATCATCATGTAGATTGGGTGGGCACAAATAAACTTTGAGCTTTTATCATTTTTTATAAACTGTGAACCAGACCACATTACAACCCTCGAAAGACCTAACTAAAGCAAGATTATTTTGAAGCTGTTAAACCCCAAAATTTGCCCTCCCTTTTCTAGCCCTAATTGGCTTTTGCTTTGCGTTCATCTACATCATCATCAGGTTGTAATTCATGATCATACTTTTCATGGGATCAGGAGTTTCTGTGAATCAAACCCTTAGGTATCAGGTTTAATCTCTTCAAGAATTTTTCAGATATCAAGAGCCAAAGATTTTCACCATTAGCCTTTCATGTCCTATTTTCATCATATCATACATCGTTCTGGGGCATATCGAGCATGCGGGTTTGCAAGGCAAGGATTGAGTCGTTTCGTTGTTTTCCATTCCAAATGAGAGAAATTGCCTATCATGGGCTACATTGAAGAAAGGTTCATCATCTAAGGTTTGATTCAAGTTGGAAAATTTACTCATGTACATTTCTTTAAGGAGAAGTTACTTAAAAATATTAGGATATTCAAGATCAATATTCCTAATGAACATGAAGTACAAGGCTTAATTCAAGATTTCTTCATCCAACTTTGTTTCAAATTCTATGTTCAAGTGGAATTCAAAAGATCACAAGTTTATAATTCAAGACTTCGTTCATTTCAATGGCATAAGGGAGATCCATCCAAATTCAAAATTCATAAATTCAAGATTAAATTCAAGAATATTACAAAGGGAAATGTCATGACATTACAAGAATGTCACATTTGTTACAAAGTTTCTAACTCTAAGTAATGTTTAAAAATTTAAGTTATTTCTAATCTTAATTCAAGTTTCTAACCAACTTCATGCTATGGTACCCTTCATGCCCCATCAAGCCCACATGTTCCTCATTATGCTTACAAACATCCAAGGAAAATAATTAAGATTCAACTTAGCATTGGGACATTTCAAGATGAAGATTATGCATTCTTAATCATGGGTAATTTTAATCTAAAATAGTCCCATGCAAGAAGTGACAAATTGCCTCATAACCAAACAATTCATGTCACAAAATTAAGGGAATGAACTCATGGTGATGCATCTACCTACCAAATATCAGAATTTTAAAAATGTTGTCAAAGGTAGAAACTTGGACCACAAGGGAAATCCAAGCACAAGCAAACAAATAGGTTCAAGATTTGAGAGCAATACAAAGTGCAGCAGAAAAAAGACAGCCTAGGCAAGTGTAGCAGCAAAAATACAACAAAGTAGGATTCATGAAAATGGAAAGAAAGAGAGTGACATTAAGAAAGTGGTAAGAGGCATTTCTCAAAGAAAATCTGAAGTTTTGAAACAAGTGAAAAC